ATTTTCCTCACAAAGTTCTCCTCGTGAGACAGTGTCTGGTTACGACTCTTACGATGAAGTTTTCCTGTCACTTCTACGGCTCTTATACATCCTTCTTTGTCCTCTTGTTCTATACTTTTTGCTCTTGAACATTGACTCTTTCTAATCTAAATAAATAATAAATAAATAAATGTTTATTCAGGTAAGGTACATACATACAAGAGATTTTTCAAAAATTGATCGATTTATAGATAGAGCTAGTACATACAGTGCCTGAAGCCACTATTACGCAAAGCGTTTCGGGCAGAATATGTGTTCATTTTCTTCCATATATCATGTTTTGTTATCGAATCCACCCCCGCTTCTTATCTCTTCCAATGCGGTGAGTTCTCTTGATTTTGCCGCTTCGAAAAGAATACAACTATTCTGAATTCTTGTAACACATGTAACTCACCTAACCTATCGAGGCGGAGGCGTTATAACGTAAATATTGCGGTTTTTAGTTTGTACTAATACGTCGTATTGCTGACTGATAGGTCGATTCTGTAAACAAAAATGCTATCTTTTTTTTTGCGACGGATCTACACCTAAATTGATTTACCACTTTGACCCTCTGTTTCCCACCAGTGAGGTACTCCCTCGTCCATCCATACATGGTGTCATTTACATAGGTGTGTGTTTTTAAGATTGTGTATGAGCGTGGATAGTGTCGAAGCTTTGTGACTCTCCGAGTCATCCACCTTTCCACTCCAAGTCATCCACCTTTCCACTCCAAGTCATCCACTTTTCCACTCCAAGTCATCCACCTTTCTTTCTCTTCTTGGATCAGTATCACCCATTTCTCTCCTATTTGGAGGTTGTGTTTCTCTTCAGCCTTCCTGTCTGTCTTGTATTATCGTTGTTACAGTGTTTGTGATACAGTACAACTATGTATCGCTGCTGGGACACGATACAGCAAGATTGACTTTGAATTAGAAAGGAGAACAACTGCTCCACGTCACCACTCCCACAACCACGCCACCCCCACACCACTCCCATACCTTCTCAACTCCCACAACCACACCACCCCCACACCACAACCCCCCCCCCCCCTCCCTCCACAACTCAACACGCTCCCATGCACCACTGCCAACAGTGTCTAGCAATAAATACAAAATAGGCGACCATGCGACGGCAGTGAAGCTGCCTCCCCTCGATACACTTGTCAAAAATTCCATGCTCTCACAGGCGCTCTTACAGGCGCTCTCACAGGCGCTCTCACACTCACAACCGTCCTGAAAACGCTCTTACAGACGCCCTCACACTCACAGGCCGCCTTCATTTCTTCGCAAGCAGTAACATGACCGGATAATCCGACCATAACCATTAAATATCATCACGTTATAACTACACACATATTCCATGGTATCTTGACATGCGCGAGTATATCATGACATACACGTGTATGCCATCTTGACCTGCACGTATTACAGCAACTGACACGCCAATTAACGACTCGTATGGACAGGCTTCATAACCTCTCTCTCTCCTCTCTTTTCCAGGTCGACGACGGAACACCAGTACCACCTCTACGCCACGACGCCACACAGCAAGTCCGTCAACTCCCTGGATCTGCGACGTCGCGAAGGTGGTCAGAGCCGCCACCTCGACGGTGTGTCCGCAGCAGGCGGCACGGACGGCGCCACAGCCGGTCTGGGCGTCGACTTCGACAAGGAACAGAGCCGCCAGCGGCAAAGACAGCGGCTGGAGTTCGGCGGAGACGGACGGACCGACAACGGAGGCTACCTCGGCAGCAAATTTGGCCCGCCTGGCGAGGGCCACGACGACCACGGGAACGGTGGGAGTGCCACGACGCAAACACGGGGATGCTGGTTCGAATCCTACCTGGTGGCGGTGTGGACTCTGGCACAGGTTCTGGTGGCCAGAGACGTCCTGGAGAGGCTGTTATGAGCGCGTGTTCTCCTCAAGCCGATGATATATGTTCTTTAGAGCTATGTGGGTGTGTGTGTTCTGTAGCTCTATGGGGGGGGGGCCGCGGCACTAGCTCTGAAACCTTGAGGGCTTAATGTGGCTCTGCGATGTGTGAAGTGGCTCCAAAAGGGTGAAATGCAATACAATGAGGCTGTAATTTGGCTCTACAAGTATTTGCTGTAGCAATAAGAGGCTGTAACCTGTAGTACATGGAGAGCTCAACAGGGCGAGGCCCGTGGTGGTGTTAGTGGTGGTGGTAGTGGTGGTGGTGGTGACACCACACGTGCTGGGGATCACCACGATAGCAGAGCACCTCACCATATCTTCAGCGTCTCTCCCAAACCCTCGATAACATCGATCATTTCATCAGTCATACAATTATCTCTCGGAGAAATAGTCAAAATAAATTAGAAAAATGATATCAAATTAAAAAAAACAAAATAAAAAACCCACATACCTAAAACCTTCAAGAAATACAAGAAATACAAATTCAACCTGAATGGAGACCAATCACTACCAGTATGTGTTGCGATATGCAATTCATCAATAAATATATACAATTTCTCCAACCGTGCAACACAGCAGTCGACTGGCTCCAGGAATGCCATTAACGCGTTCCCTCTGTGTAGACAGCATTTACAGTTCGTATATAAGGCATTTCTCTCACAATAGACAAATTACCCAGAAATGTTGATATTAATGAATGAATGGATGTCAGGCTCCAGTCAGGTAGACACACTTCAGCGTGCTATTAATTAATGATGTCTCAATAATTCCTAATGTCATTTAATTTATGTCATTTTTATCAGTAAGGAGCATTGAAGTGCTTCAAAATATATTCTAATTCTATACTATTTCAATATTTTTGGTTAATACGCTGTTATTTTTTTTATGGTCTGTTTTGATATTGATAAGTGCTATTGTTTGTAATGTATATGTTCTGTATAAGAGCGATGCAATGCAATTAGACGATTCACAATAACTCTGCATTCGAAAGGTATTTCCTTTGTGTGTGTGTGTATATGTACTCACCTGTGTGTGTGTGTGTGTGTGTGTGTGTGTGTGTGTGTGTATAAGTCTGAGATTGAAGATAGTGATTATTGAAAAATACATTCCTAGGGCCAGATTCACGAAGCAGTTACGCAACCTCTTAAGAACCTGTCCATCTTTTCTCAATCTTTGGCGGCTTTGTTTACAGTTATTAAACAGTTAATGAGCTCCGAAGCACCAGGAGGCTGTTTATAACAATAACAATAGTTGATTGGCAAGTTTTCATGCTTGTAAACTGTTTAATAAATGTAACCAAAGGTGTCAAAGATTGAGGAAAGGTGTACACGTTCGTAAGTACTTTCGTAACTGCTTCATGAATCTGGCCCCCCCCCTAGTTTCTCCCCCTCATTCTTCTCTTCCTCCTTCTCCTCCTCCTCCTCCTCCTCCTCCAAGAACCATACTCAATAACACACCGATATTATTAACACAGCCGCCCCCTCTCTCTCTCTCTCGCTGAATCAAATTACCCTAATCATGCATGCGGAAAGGTCGGGAAGGTCAGATAAACCCGAGGTCAAATGAGGCACCGTGAAGTGAACTTGTTCCGAAAATGAGTAGGAAATGAGGGGTGGTAGGGGTATGAGGGGAAGAGGGGGGTGGGGGGAAAAATGGGAGGGGAGAAAATGGGAGGGGGGGTATGAGGAAGGGAAGCACGTGGTAACAAGGCAATAACGCCAGGTGACCACGTGGACTTTACCTGCCCGTAATATGGGAAAGATGGAAGGGGTGAGAGGTAAGAGGGGAGAGAAGAGGGGAGAGAAGAGGTGGAGGAAGACTGGAAGAATAAGGGAGAAACAAGAATGAGAAAGAATAGGAAGTCGAAGGAGACGATAAAAAGACACACACACACACACACACACACACACACACACACACACACAACAACACACACACCACACCACAACACAGCACACACACACACACAAACACACACACACACAAACACACACACACACACACACACACACACACACACACACACACACACACACACACACACACACTCTTAATGTGGCATCATGTAATTTGTTATTAGTTAAATTAAACATAATAAGCATATTTTTTTGTATAACAAAATCAGCTTGCTTCACTTTCACCACCTGCATCAATTTCACCACCTGGGTCACCTTCACCACCTGCATCACCTTCACCACCTGCGTCACCTTCACCTGCGTCACCTTCACCACCTGGGTCACCTTCACCACCTGGATCACCTTCACCACCTGGATCACCTTCACCACCTGGATCACCTTCACCACCTGGATCACCTTCACCACCTGGGTCACCTTCACCACCTGCATGGCGTGGACAGCTGTGTTGTTCCGGATTACACACATGTTTACATTTTTACACCATCACTTTCCGCCTAGTTACATAGTTACATTTTTTTGTCCTACACATTTCCGCTTTGCTTTAATAATGACTCGCGTTGAACTCTTTCTTCATATTAATTGTGCCCTTTTGTTTCGGAACCCGTGAAACCGCTCCGGCATTCGCCTGTAATATTTTGTCTAAATTATCCCAATTTCTTTTTACAAAATTGACGAATATAAATATTGGGAAGTTGGATATGGTATATTATATGTAGCATACACACGTATTGTTATATTATACGGTATATCCCGTAATACAATCAGTTATTGTTGATTTAATAATGAAGTTGTGATAGTGTTATCACGTGCTGATATATATAACTCAATTGTATTTGTTTTGAGCTGTCTTTGTTAAATGAGAATGTGATCTTAAAAGTGAAAACTTGAGTGACAACCTCATCATACATGAGGCTGGGCGAGGCCTGAGTCACCCTCTGGTTATTCATTGTATGTAGTGACAATGCCTTGGTATACCCAGGCTCTACTTGAGTATATCTGATATACCCCAAGCTGCAGGTTAGTATGTCTGATGTACTTATATCGCCAGAGTATATATCTGTGAACAATCATGACTAATATATAGACGTGTGTGTGTGTGTGTGTGTGTGTGTGTGTGTGTGTGTGTGTGTGTGTGTGTGTGTGTGTGTGTGTGTGTGTGTGTGTGTGTGTGTGTGTGTGTGTACTCACCTAGTTGTGCTTGCGGGGGTTGAGCTCTGGCTCTTTGGTCCCGCCTCTCAACTGTCAATCAACTGGTGTGTGTGTGTGTGTGTTTTACAGGATGTTACAGCATAACTGTCACATTCTCCTCCACAGAAGCCATTTATCCGCTCTTAAGGTTGTGGATGCATAGCACTTTATTCTTCACAAGCCTCAATATTGTCGTTTGGTTGAAAAATGATCATATATTCATTTTTCTTGTGTGCTTCCCCCTCCCCCACCCCATGACCTTCCCCCCCAGCTGGCCTCACAGCTACCCTGTCATCTCTTTGGAACGACAAGCAAACTGGTTCTACACTTAGCTCATTTGCATAAATTTACATATATCTGCATTTGCAGAGGGTTTTATTAAGAGTAGCAGGAAAAGTGCGTCGCAGGCCAAAAGCGTCCTTCAGTGCAAAAGTTATTAAAAATTCCGTGTACGCCGCCAGGTCTAGGTTTGACTAGGAAGAGCTCCGCAGGGCACTTTGCATGGCCTCCCTCCTAGCACATTGACTCTGGCTCCTAGCACATTGACTCTGGCTCCTAGCACTGGCATGTTAGCACTTGCTCTGACATGCTTCCAAGTCTTCACTACCTCTCTTCACTCTCCATCTCTATTAATCACATAGCCCTTTACTTCAAATTCTACCCAAACTATCACTGAGGTTATGAAAGCGGCGAATGAGGCCATTCCAAACACCAGCAGACCCTATCAACAGATGAAAGAGTGAAAGCTCTTTAGACACTGAAGGCATACTGTAATGCTTTTCTTTCAACGTTAGATACTTCGAGAGGAAGATCAGTTCACCTTATCCCTCTCCGGGGCCCCTAGTATAAGAAGTGCACATGTAGCGTACCTGTGTGCTGTGGAATCCTGAGACTGAGCTCTGAAAATGTATCCAATAAGTGATAACTAGCGAAATATCTAACCTAATGAGATATCTAAGACACTACAGGTTAAACGCGGATAACAGCTTCTCGACCCAAGTTATCGCAATCTTGTATATGGTACTCAGAGGTCAAAGGAGGTCACCGAAAGGAAAATAGGAAGCCACCAGAGACATGAAAGACCATGAGAAGTCATCCATAGTCACAATTGACACCAGGCATCCATCAGAGTTAAGGGATCCAAGACCTGCTAGCCACCTTTATCAGCGCCTGTGTGTGGTGAAACAGAGAGGAAATACAACATCCATGGAACTCGAGGAGATATACAGACTTTGACAACTGTGTATACCTTGATTTTTTTAACCAATTTTGGTTAAAGTTTCAGTAAACAAATCCACAAGGGCCGTGACGAGGATTCGAACCTGCGTCCGAGAGCATCCCAGACGCTGCCTTAATCGACTGAGCTACGACATGGTCAAAAGGAGTTAAAACCGAAGTTCTACTGAACTTACTGGATCCTGCAGCCTCTCCGAGGCACAAACCAGGATTTTGTACAACTCCCTCCATGCACTCGAGCTATGTCAATAGGCCGTTCGCCCTCGTTATGGCCCTTGTGGATTTGTTCATTTGATGCATCACGCAATTGTGATTTCTGTGAGTAAAATTTCAGTAAAGTGCAAAATTATTGAGAAATCAACGTACATGTGAGCTATACAAGGTTCCTTCGTATATTCTGTACATTCTCTTCTTTGAGGCGGTATCCCCTCAATGGTAGAGGTAAAGTTGACATTCTATTACAAGATCAAGAAGACTACCAACATACTCATGAAGAACTCTCCAGACACCAAGCAAAGTTCCCACTTGGGGATTGCCAGCCCCAACGATCACAGTGTATAGACAAGACAACATCATCTAATTCAAGGAGCCAGACAATGCCCAACCAGTACGGTTCCATCAATAAACATACCACTTTAACACACACCAACATCATTACCACCGATATCCTAACCTGCACGACCGAAGTAATCGACATATACAACAATACTAGAATATTATAGACATCGCCGAAGCTCTACACATCAAACAATCTCATCTATCATCAGCCAGCTCATACTCAAGATACATTTCACTGTCCTCACGACCAAGATAGAAACTGCCCAAGCCATCATAGGAATTCAGGAAAGTACAAGAGCAGCAACAGCCTTGTTCTAGAGACCAGTAGAGGGGATTATAGTACTCGAAGTGAAGAATTATAATGTGGATTCTACTTTATATGACTTGAACTTGATGGAGAAGCACTCCTGGTTATCTCAGTGATGCTCCGTGAAAGCTGTAGAAGCACAATTTGGGAAGCAATCAATCTATCAATTGCAAATCAATCAACTCATTGTAAAAGGACAGTTTGGGTAACAGTGGTTGCCTCATTCATTACTATCAGCACTCACGACCCTCACACTTGAGTGTGTGTGTGTGTGTGTGTGTGTGTGTGTGTGTGTGTGTGTGTGTGTGTGTGTGTGTGTGTGTGGAGAGAGGTGTACAGTGTGATGGAAGGTAGAGTTTTAGAGTAAGCATGGTGAGGAGCTGCGTGTACAGCGTGTGGTGATGGGCAGGGTGTACAGTGTGTGGTGATGGGCAGTGTACAGTGTGTGGTGATGGGCAGTGTACAGTGTGTGGTGATGGGCAGGGTGTACAGTGTGTGGTGATGGGCAGGGTGTACAGTGTGTGGTGATGGGCAGGGTGTACAGTGTGTGGTGATGGGCAGGGTGTACAGTGTGTGGTGATGGGCAGTGTACAGTGTGTGGTGATGGGCAGGGTGTACAGTGTGTGGTGATGGGCAGTGTACAGTGTGTGGTGATGGGCAGTGTGTACAGTGTGTGGTGATGGGTAGTGTACAGTGTGTGGTGATGGGCAGTGTACAGTGTGTGGTGATGGGCAGGGTGTACAGTGTGTGGTGATGGGCAGTGTACAGTGTGTGGTGATGGGCAGTGTACAGTGTGTGGTGATGGGCAGTGTACAGTGTATGGTGATGGGCAGTGTACAGTGAGTGGTGATGGGCAGTGTACAGTGTGTGGTGATGGGCAGTATACAGTGTGTGGTGATGGGCAGTGTACAGGGGTTGGTGATGGGCAGTGTACAGTGTGTGGTGATGGGCAGTGTACAGTGTGTGGTGA